CGAGGCGACTGCCAGAGCCTCCTCTCCGGCACGGCTAACCGTGTGCATCCCGGCTAGCTTTAAACCTGCTTGTACAATGCACTTTCCTCCTTAAAACCCCCCATCCCCGGTGTGCAACTGCAGGGCCCGGCGCCGCCATACACCACCACATAGACACATAAAACAACACGTATAGCATGCCCCGTAGCACCCAGCGGAAAGAGACATGCGAAAAATGAGGAGGAGGGGGCACAAACCGGGACCGTAAACCGGCCACAGAGCCGCCGAGGACGGAGACATGCAGGGAACAAGTCTACTTGGACGAACTAACCTGTTCGGGAGCAGCACGGTCCGCTGGATATTGGGTTGAATCCGAGTTAAATCCACTATCAGTAAAACAAAGAGGCGAAAATGACCGAGCGGCCGCGGAACAGGCCGAAACAGCACTCCTGGAGCAGCGCGGCGCATGCGCAGAGGAAGGCCGGAGGTGGAGGGGGTGGGAAGGGAAGAGAGGGGGGCGGGGTGAATGAGTGCAACTAATTTTTAAAATTGATCCACAGAGTGTGTCATTCATTATTAATTTGAAGGAAATAAAAGGCCTCCATCGATGGGTGTTGTGTTCAATGTGTGTGGGATACGAAGTCACGTCATGGGGACATTTTTAATCTCCATATTACACTGCTAATTGTATTATTATTGGTGTTATTACTGGCTAAACTTGCTGCTAACTTGATCAATGTCCTTTGCGTGTTACCTGGATATGTATGGCGTATGCACTAGCACTATAATAAAAATGTGGCATGATAGTGTAGTTGCATCTTTCATCTCTGTGTTGCATGGCTTATGCATCCAATGTATGATATTACCATTTGTAACTGCATCTTTTAACATTTTATCTACATCGACATCATCATTATCATTTTCTATTTATGTGTTATCGCCGTTTTGCATGTGTCTAAAATGGTTAAAATCGTTTTTTTTTTAATGTTATTATTAATGTGTCTGTCTTTATGGCATTGTGTTGTCTATTGTATGTAATTTTTAATGATCATCTCACCATAGGACTGCAACGAAAATTATCCAGCTGGGTAACACTGGCAGAAATGTTGATTAATGTGTGTTGTAATGACATTGTTGGTCTCTCTGCCTAAACAACTAAACAAATAATTATTGATTGAATATAAATCTATGTAACAAAAACAGTAGGAATTCTTATTGAAATGTTTAAAGTATTTTTACCCCTGACTTCCACAAGAAAAAACTGATAAAAAAAATATCTTAGTGTAGATATCTGTGCCTGATTTCATGGAAACCCATCAAATATTTGTCAAGATATGTTATTTTGAACCAAGAGAAGATATTAAAATGGATTGTTATTGATTTCAGTGTCAGAAACAGGTTTATTACCAAGTAGGTTTTCACATACAATGAGTTTTCCTTGTTGTTGTTCTTGTGGTGCATAACAGTCAAAAATATACAAGCAAGAGAAACTACAAGTACCACAAAAGTCAATAAATCTTAATATTAATACAAAAGTCAACAAGCACAAGTCAGATGTGGATCAATAATGAAATTTCATTCTCAACTTGTGGCACATCATTGAGTCCTTGAAGTGCTCAGAAAAAGGGAAATTTGAACACATGTATTCTGTGATACAGTTTGATGCCAGAACATCTATTAAATGGACTATTGGACTATTTGGGTAAATATGATAAGATAATATAAAAAGATTGTACTTTATTAATAATGAAGCAAAAGTATGATACACTTAAAACCAAAATACATGCAACAAAAAGGAATAGAAAAAAATATATCTATATGTAGAATGAAATGAAGTGCAAAATGATAAATCACAGTTTAACAGATAAATGAGAAAAGAGTATTGATTACTGTGTTATAAATTGTAAGCAGTTAAAAAAAATACACCAATTTCTTCTGTGTTTAAACAATGTCAACCAAAACTGTCAACCTGTTGGTGGTGCAAGAGGAAAAGACAGGGGACCGTCAAATTTATTACAATTCATCATGAGGGAAACATGAATGTCTGAACCAAATTTAACAGAGATCCATCTAATAGTTGTTGAGATATTTTGTGTCAGGACCAAAGAGTTTACATGCAGACATGAATGAACACCTGCGTGACGAAACTGACCTCTGAGCTGAACTCCCACCCCTGTATATGATCATTTTTAAACTGATGATTAAGTATTTCTATCCAAAGTTAGGATACTGAATGCATAGCCTACGTTTTATTTTTATTTTTACAGTAGTTATGTATTTTAAATCATGTTGTTCCTTATATGGTCATTGGTTGATACTGTGTCCCTGCCATTTGTCCTAATCTTCCTCCTGTACTGTCAACTGTCCTTTATTGCTGTTAACACTGTATTGTCTGTCAGTCCACCACTTTGGTCCAGACTGAAACATCTGGATGGACTGAGATGAAACGTTATACCCCTGACTGCCACCAGCAGGTCAAAGCGTTCTGTTATCCTGTGAAATAGCTCAACGTTTACCGAAGAACTGGCACAAAAATGAGTGCAAAGACATTCATGGTGCTCAGGGGATAAATCCTAATGACTGTGCTGTGCCTCGCTTCACAGTGACACTATGTCAAGAGGCTCTTAGAGTTGTTAGTAAATATTAGTACAAAACAGAGCCATAAAAATATGCATTTTGACAGAAATTGGCATCTTCCTATTATATTCAACAGCTCTTTCAATTGTGGAAAGTCCTATAAATGGTTAAGGTTCAGATGGTTGAAAGGTTATGTATCCTGCACTGGCTGATTTAAATTGAACTATTGTCACGAAGTACTCCATGCTGCACGCTCTTAACTGGAAATAATGATTTTGAAACAAAAAGAAGTTGCAGTTGCCAAAATCAGAGGCCAACATCTGCTGATGCTCAGATGTTTTAAGTCCCTGAACTCCCCACTTATGATTCAGCCCGGTGCTGCAGCCACATTTCTATTCAGGGGTTGAAGTAACGTCTGACACTGAGAATTTTTCAGTAGAGAGTAGACGTAGTTCTCGACCAGCATCTTTATATTCTTTGTGCAGGATGTACAATAACTCAATTTAAACCTCCCAGGGGTTTGATCAAGATTAATTTAATCAAGTCTGAGTCGCTTCTAAGCCAGTAAGCTTTGCACGAAGAAGTTTCAAGTAACTTTTATTTGTGTGATTTTCAAGCACTGACACTTTGTATTGACTTAAACTTAGGGCTATAAAACACCTAAACCTTCTTCATGCACTAAATCAGCCAATAAAGGGCCTCTAAAAGCCAAAGGGGACATGTTGTGGCTGTAACACATCATCATAGCTTCATTTACCACTAGTTCAGGCAGTGTATTAAATATTAAAATGCTTCAATATATTTATATTTATAGATATTTCCCTCTATTATGTTGGCAATTTGCTATTTCAGATATCATCCATTCAAATCTTAAACAATTTAAAGGAGGATATAGTAACTCTATCTGTGGATGCTCTATAAATTGTTTGTCAAATATATGGTCAATATCATGTTTTTGCCAAATTAAAATTAAGCATTTCCTAAAGACAAACTATATATTTATAATAAGATCAATTTATCATTCCCATGTTTTCATATTCACTGTTGCTCTTTCAAACTCTTGTAGTACAGGCAATAAAAATGTAGATACACTTTTTGTCATGCATATAGATAATATATGCAGTGCATTAGGAGGAGTCTTGCTAAAATATGACCATTATGTTATGAATTGGATGATTTCAACTTTCTTTTCTGAAAGACTGTGCGTCTTTTGCTTATCAGTTAATTATCACATCTTTCTCTAAATGCCTTTTCTCTGTTGGAAAGTGTGAAAATTTTGCCTCTGCTGATCAGGCCTCACTGGGCTGGACCTCTTAAATAATCTGAGAGTTGCACTTATAGGAAGGTTTTTGCAGGGCATTTATTTTTAATTGTAAGAATAGGAGCAAAATTATATACATTTTTATATATTTTATATTTTATTTGATGCCTTTAAGAGAAAAAAAACTGAAAACACACAGGCCCAGAAAAATAACTACTCAAGATGAAAGATATGAGAGCTGATGCACACAACACAGGTAAAGGTGAGTCACTGTTTCACACACAGTATCACTTTCTTTTTAAGAGCTTCCTTCAGAGGCAAACCTACACATCCAGACAAACAAGGGGTTAAAGAGAGGGAGGAGTGTGCTGTCAATCAGAGAAGTTGAAAATCTAAGACCTCTCACTCTGTTCTCATTCCCAGTCACATTAAAGAAAAATCACCAGTGGGATGACCCCACTAATCTGACAAATTATTGAATAAGGCAACAACAAGTTCACATGCAAACTTATTATAGCAGGAGAAGCACAGTTGTTACTAATAACATTAGTAGTTCCGTAGTTCCTTTCTGTTCAAGTGTCCCAGTCAGCCATGACACTGTGCAGTGAGCCAACGTACACACCAGGACCCTGAAACTGCTAAATGGAATTCAGCCAACTTTAGTTTCATTATGTACTTTTCCTATTGTGACAGTCAAAAATAAACACCATGGAAAAACATGTATATAGAATGACTGTACTCTACGAAATTCAGTCATTTCCAAGTACATCAATACTGGGCTCAGGTGGAAGTAGGGCCTGATAAAAGTAAACACATATATTGTGTCTGGATTAGGCACATTTTACTGGGAATGGGAAGTTATTTTTGCTTAACTTGATTCACTCTAGTAGTGCAGAGAGAAATTGTGATGGGAATGTTTCACTGTTTTCTGTTATTTTAAATACCAAGATATGATTTTCTATTACACATTGTGCACATTTGTTTTCTGTGTTTTTTCTCTCTATAGAAGGTCAGTCGATCATTTCAGCAGGTTGGAAAATTTCAAAAGTTGTAGGCAGTGCAGGGCCGCTGTTTTAGCAACCGAGTGGTTCATCGTCTCGGTAGAAGATCTTCGGTACAGTACAGTGACACTCCCCGGTTCTGTACCTGAGTCATGACGCGATGCTTGGTTTGAAGACTTTTCCCAGCCTCTGACCTGATTTCCCGGCGTCCATTAATAACGTAAATGCTTTAATAATCCACCAGAAGACAACAATGGATTTGCAGTTTGTATTTTAAAGGACATAAAGCGCTTCTGTGGGTTTTTACCAACCACATCAACGTTGCGATGCCTCGGATGTTTGTACAGTGTTGAGCGAGCTAACGCTACCACACAGTTTAACCGGCAAACTTGTCAACAAAACTCTTAAGACACTAATGGAGAATGACGGCGAAGTCTCCTCTGAGGTTCAGACTGTTTCCTCTGATGAACCGAGACGACCAAACCCAGAGCTGAGGAAACTGTTGGTTTTTAAAGTTTACAAGAGGAGGTGGTTTGTCCTGCTGGTGCTGTGTTTGTTAAACTGCTCCAACGCAACGGTGAGTAAAGTGTGTAACTTCACTTATGGTCACCTGACATTTTACAACAAAGTTAAAGATATAATATGTAACTTTTAGGCATTAAAATATCTAGATATGTGTTATTTTGTTGAGTGCTGTACTTACATGATCCCAAATGTTTCCATCTATTTTCAAACATGGAAAAATCCGTATTTTCAATCAGGTAATGGCCCGTTTTGGTTGGTCATCTGTCAATGGCGTCAGATCCCCTTTGCGCATGCGTAAACGTTGTGGTTGTTTCACAGAAACTTTTCATCCAGTTTGAAGTCACGTTTTTTACAATACAGTTTTTGTATATATATACACTATATAGTTTAATCAGGTGAAGGATTGTCGTCATCAGAAGTCTGGATCTTAAGTTATTAGAGAAAAACGTTGAGCAAATGTTAGCCGCAGTCCTGTGTTCGCAGGACAGTGTTGGAGAAACACTGATTTTTAACGTGAAACTGCTTTATTCGGTGTTTTTACCGAACTAAATAACCAGTTCTGTTTGTTTGGGAGAGGAGGAGATGTCTACGGATAATTTGGCCCCAGGTAAAAACCTTCCCAACGTCTGTATCTTAAGTTAAACCGAGTAACAAGCAGCGACGGCTCACTGGCACGATTTTTAACATGAATCTGTTTTATTCAGTGTTTTTACTGGTTTTAGTCACCTGGGTTGTTTGTTTTGGAGAGGAGGAGACCTCTGCAGATAATTCAGCTCTCGCTAAAAAAAACCTCCTGGACATTGACACAGAGGGAATCCTAACCCGGAGAAGCAGACAGCAACAGGGGTGACGACAACTCCCATGATCCCACACTACTTCACAATGTCTCTGAACTCAGTCTCTTAAATGCAAATTGTGCAGATTGATTGTGTATTTTTATTGTCAGAGTCAGAGCATTTCGATACTGAGTTACTAAGTTAATATGAAGAAGTTTTCATTAAGTAATCCTCGTTTTCGAAATAATAGTTTTTAGGGTGAGAACACAACATCTCAAAATATCACAATTTTTTTATTTTTTTTACTTTTTTTAATGTCCTGTATGGGAGCCCATTTCTGCCAAAACAATCAAACAATAAAAAAACAAAATTTCCTCTGTGAACTAAATATGAATAAATAAACATAATAAGTCATGTTGTTTTAGTCGTGCACACTGTCACTAATGTGCAAATGATCAAGTCACACTTGACATTAAACCTTTAAAGCCTCATTTAAAGGTTAGAATTGCAGTATCTCCACTTGAAGAACACGTTTCATGTCTTCATGCTCACAATGGTGTGTTCACATTTTACATATAAGGAAAAACTAACTTCAACCTTAATGCCCTCCTTTAATGGACATCTCTGACACCTCTCTTTTTCTAGCATTAAACAGCAGATGTGGTTGTGAGCACAGCAGGTAGATGACATGTGGTGCCCTCTTACGTTTGGTGGAACTTGATATCTATTCCCTGGGGATGTTGTCATTGTAAAGCAGAGCGTGCCTGGAAGCAAGCGTGCCTCTCTCAGCTATGCAAACTGTGCCCCTCCCTCACCTATTGCCAGCTCCCACAGGACTCGTCCTCTCTATGGGACCTTTTGTTTGCACGGCACTGGTGTTCCCACTCACAAAAGATGCTCAGCTGTTGGAGAGTCATTCATGATGTGGCAAATAACAGACGATGAGCCAGCTAGACATCAATCCGTGTGACACTAGCAGCCCTACTGAGGGTTGTAGATTGTTCCCCTTGTAAATTGATTTAGCATGGATTTTGAGAACTATAACGCATTGTTTACTGCCAATTGTTCTTGGCAAAGTTTAAAGACATCTGAAACTGGATGCAGAACATAAAGCACCAGATTTTTCATTACAAAGAAATGAATATAAAACCCTTGAGATTGAGATTGAGAGCAAGGAATCAAACTCTAATGTGTCAACTTATTTGCACAAGGTTGCTGTAACATACAGTATACCACTGTAACTAAAATAATGATAAAAGAGAATGAGAGATAGTAACAATAAGCACAAATCAAACTAATCTGCTTTATGTTTGAATGTGACGTTTATGAGCCCATACCGAATGGATTATGTTGATATAACCTGACCAACATTGTATTTTTGAAGTAGATACTGATGTCAATATTTAGAAGTTGAAAAAATCCAATAATGATCTATCTGCAAAGTAAAAACACATAACTTACACATGAAAGGATGATTTTTTTATGCTTAAGAATTGTGACTGAGATACATCCTGTGCAGGACATTTTACAGAAATTTTACAGTGTAAAAATAAAGTTGGCAAAGATCTCAAACCTTCCTTGTTATTTCTCAGCTGACATATAAACTGATACCGATCGATTTGTAAAAAGCTAATATCATCCTGGCCGATTTATCTTTCTAACTCCAATATCTATGATATATATGAAGATAGTTTTTAGAGTTAAGCACTAAAGAGAGATTTCTATCATTTCATTTTTACAAAAAGGTTCCACTTTTTCTGTTTCAATACAAACAGCAGGGGAAACCAGACACAAGCATCAAATGATCATCACTGGACATGTCAGAAAACCCTGTCCTCTGCAAACAGCACAGGTCTCTGGAATAACAGAAGGAGGAATGTGTGGAAATGTAAATCGCCTCAGAGAGGGGACAGGACTGACATTGTGTGTCCACATCAGCTGACCAGCTCGCGTCAGCTCGACATAAATTAGGGTTTCTTCATTGTCTGCAAAACAGAGACTTGTGCTGGTGCAGCCTGTGTGGTCTCAGTTAAGTTAACAGATCAGATTCATTCAGTCGACTCTGTGTGTTTGTGTATCAGCCCTCCATGCAGCTTGTTTACTGCGCTATTAGCACCAGTCACATTCAGTGTTCTTCACCGTGTCAGAAGCTGTAAGAAAAAATCCACATATTTAGACGTGTAGAAGCTTCTATTCTTAATTTTAGACTTTGGATTTAATTATTTTGTAAACAATGATGCACTGCTGCTAAAAAGGTGTCCTTTAATCCCTCTGCACTCACTGCTGCGTATTTGATATTGTTGTCATGCACATACTTCTCATGTAAAAAAAGAGAAATATTTAGATACTCAGGCATTTCAGGTTTCAGGTTTCTCTGTGCAGAAATCTGTGGAGAGAAATCTGTGTTAACTGGTTTCACTTTCCCAATAAGAGAAAGCAGGCGTCTTGTTTACATGACATTTAAGAGATAAGCTTACTACAGCAAGCAGTCAGTAACCCACTTACTTAAGTGCATGTAAATACACTTGTTTTTCTGTCTGTTATCCCTGTGAAAGATTCCTGTCATCCTTTGCATGCTGGGAAAAGGCTGCACTTCCTCCAACCCCCAAAAATAAAAACACCGGTGATTGTAATCAGTTCACATTCCGGGTTGATGGGAAATGAGACATGCCGTCACCTTCTACAGCAAATACTGCTAAGAAAAGTGAAATCTCTGGTGGAGCCCTGACTTTATTGCCGTCAGCCATTTACACCTAAATAATATATACATTTATTTAAACTATAAACAAAACTTAATGGTGGAGATCCTGCAAGAAGTCCTGCATTCAGAATCTTACTGACGTAAATGCACATAAGTGTCGACAGCAAAACTTGAGTGTTATATTGGAACGTGCACATGTAAGCAGCATTTTAATGTAGTCAAGTTAAGATAACTATTCAGTTTAATCTACGATGATTATTTTATATTATTTAAACTGATAATATCATATTTTATGTGTCAGATCTTAATGTTGAACGCAGCTGTAAAATAAATGTAGTGTTTAGTAAAAAGTGCAATAAATCCCTCTAAAATTAAGCTAAACCATAAAATGGAAATAAAGTACAAATTGCTCTGAGGTGCAAAACCATTGTAAAACCCACACTAATAAATTTCACCTGATCTTGTAGACTGACAGGGTGAAAGTACGAACATCTCATTCCTAAAATATCAAAGACTTTTCTACAGACTGCAGCCTTTTTCTTCATCACAGTACTGTCATCTCCCCCAGTTTGTCCTTTAGCATGAAAATGTCCGTTTGTACCCTGCGCTGTCGGGAGTGGCGTGTGTCATGTGTGTGGTGTCATATGAGAGCGCAACAAGCTGGGATACACCATTTCTTCCTCACATGAGCTGAGAAAGTCTCGCCATTTCCTCTTTTTGTGAAGCAGTATTTAGAGGTCTCATGACTATAAGATAATTGAGGAAATCTGATATTAAACTGCAGCTGCTTCTGTGGGACTGATCGCTAATAAAATACACTGGTGAAAGTGTCATTATGTTTTGACAGTTGTTAACTAGAGAGTTCATCATTATATTTTACAATGCATAATCAGTGTGTTTGATCAGTTCATATCATCACACATTCAATGATAGTCAGAATGAGGAATCTTAAAATTACATGACCAAGAAGTGTGAATGAACAAGACTGTGAGGATCCCTTGATCCATTATTTACATTGTACTTTTAACATGACATAATCACTATTTTTAGTTTTTAGTTGTATGATTATCGTACACTTAAATGGATTTGTGGATTTGCAACTGAGAGACACTGTAATTTAATTTAATTTAATTTAATTTAATTTAATTTAATTTGATTTAATTTATATCTGTGACAGAAATCAACTGACAGACAAAAGAGCGTATACTGATATTTCAGTGTTGTCATTCTGCTAAAATAAATCATCCTTCAGTTTTACCTTTTTCTTTTCTTTTCTCTTATTTTTTTTTTTTGTACTGGCTGTTGACATTTTAAAGCATTGGCTGGGGTCACAGCTCAAACCTTCACACAGTGCAGATCTACAAAATGACATTTGTGCTTTTATCCTGTCTGGTCTGGTCTCAGTGAAACAGGGAAAGTGGCTCAAGAAGTAGTTTTAGATGTTTCAGATGTTTTTAGAGGAAGTGATCACAGCTGCACGACCCAGAACTCACTAATCCAAAGCTGCAGAGTTGCACTGATGTTGTAATTACTTGTTTTTCTTCTTTAACACCATGTCGTTTTTATGCATTAAGTAATTTTTATATCCTTTTAAAGATATTTTTTATACATGAAACACATTTAAAAGTCTCAATGTTATGTGAAACATTATATGAAACATTTAGACTTCATTCTAGACTTAAAAACTGCTCCATAGTGAGTTTTATTTTCATAAATTCGTATTGGTAATAACTTTGTGGAAGTAGCTAGTTGTAGTAGACAGATCTCATTCTGGAATAAAACTCTTAATGTGTCTTCCCAGATATGGCTGACCTTTGCACCAATAGCGGACCAGTCTGCCCAGTACCTGAAGGTCTCTCTGGAAGAAGTCAACTGGTTGTCAGTGATCTACATGGTGGTGGCCATACCAGTCAGCTTTGGGACCACGTGGATGCTGGACACTCTGGGGCTACGGGTCACGGTACAAACTGAACACTGAACTAATAACTGATGTTGTTTAAATACCATGAGTAAGCTATAACCTTTTATTTTTATTTTATTTTTTTTAAACAGTCGGATATTTTCCAGAAAATGAGAAATATTCCTCTTCTATACTGGAAGATGTGTGTTTTAGTTTTAGTCTGTGAGTTTGTTTTTTAATGACAGCAGCACAAAACAAGTGGCAAGTGATTTTAAATATGTGCAAGAAAGAAAAGAGCCCAGGGGAAGATGTTAATAATGTAAAGACGTCCTGTGTGTGTGTGTGTGTGTGTGTGTGTGTGTACTGAAAGTTTTCTGATGGCTGCTGAGAGAAAACTAACTGTTTCCAGGAATAAAAAAAAACAACAGATGAGCAACATATGTTTAATGTCAGAGAGGAAAACCGAGCGGGAGGTCTTATTATGGAGGTCGTATAATCAGAGTCAGAATCATTTCCTGAAATTGAGTTTATCGGCTAAGCAGCTATTTTCAACAGCATATATTCAAATCAACAATATATCTTCAGTAAAATCAATGTTGTTATTCTCCCACTGTATTGGTTTGCAGCTGAGGAAAACTGAAATTACATAGATTCACATAATCAAAACAAAAATCTGTGCACAAATCAGCTGACAGCACTGGATTAAGAGGAGATATTGAAAAGTGAATGTTGGCGTCCTGATAAAATCAACCTTCAGTTTTACCTCATGTGCTGAGCTGACTCACACTGCACACACTGCAGATTTAGAAAAAGGGCACTCAGGCTTGAGCAAGCATTTCAAGTTGTTCTTCATTTCAATCTGCAAAACTGAACAGGGGGTCTTATTAAGCTGGTAATGTAATTCAGTGTAATTTAGTCTTTCTTCTTAGCAGCAGGAGTTCATGTGAAGTTTGCTTTGAGAAGTTGGTGCTAACAACTATGGAACAAAAAAAAAAAAAGTCACTAAATGTGACCGATGAATGAATAAGCTAAAAGGTAAAGGCAGTTCAGACACATAAGAACAGAAACTACATGACAGAATCAAAAGAGATGTATGTTAAATTCTTGTTTTCACTCTTTTCTCCTGGGAAAACCGACCGGTCTGCTGCACTGGAAATGATGTGTCATACGAATGTGATTTGTTTCAGCAGGCAAACAAGAAAGTAAACAGGAGATAAGCTGTGTAAACCCATTCATTTCTGTGTCACCAGTCACAAATTGACCTGCGGAGTTAAATCTGATTGAACTTCGACACATGAAAACACAAAGCTCTCCCCGTGAATTGTTTGTATTCTTGTTTTCTAATTTGTCTGACGTAATAATTGCTGCTTAGCCGAAGCGAGCACAAGGACCGTGACAGAGGTTCATGACAGTAACATGCTGTTTAATTTACAGCTTTGTGGACTGTTTTTTTCAGCCCACGCTAGCTCCTGCAGTTTATGTTTACAACCCTAACCCATGTGATTTCCTGTCCTTCTTGCTTTTGTCCAAACAAGTAAATTTAATCTGGAGAATTTCAGTCTTCCTGCTTCTAAAGACAGTAATTTGAACTTAATCCAAAAACAAAGACATCCTACACTATGTGATTGATTTATGATTTTTGAGAAACTATTAAAGGAGGGATAAAAACACAGTGTTTTGACCTGTCACTGCCATCTCAACCCTGCAGTTGATCCTGGGCTCCGGCCTGAACATGTTTGGAGCCCTGCTGCGCTTCCTTGGCACGCCACAGGGCACGGCGGCTGAAGTCCGTTACATATTAGTGATGCTGGGTCAGACTCTCGGTGCCCTGGCTCAGCCCCTCATCATTTTCACCCCCACCAAGCTGGCAGCTCTCTGGTTCCCCGACCATCAGCGGGCCACAGCGAACACCATCGCCTCCATGTGTGAGTGATTTACTGTTTATTATTACTCAGAGCTGGGTGGGAATTTATCTCTACAGCTTTGCATAGCTTTTATACAGCAGTTATCAATGCAATTATACAGCTTTAAAGACTTCCTGCGGGGTGTTAGTCATGCGAAATTAAAAAGAGAAAGAGAGCAACACATGAGCCAAAACAATTTAGTGAATAGTATATGTTAGGAGTGTGTTTCTTTTAGCTTATTGTGAATTTCCTTGCCCCCAAGTGACAAGAAAAATCTATTTTTGCAGCTTCAATGAGAAATAATTCAATCAAACTTGTCTATTCAAGCATCTCCAAACAAGACGTGTGAATATACTTCAATTTAGAGGATTCCAGAAAAACATCACTTTTATAAACATTTATGAAGAGAGCATGAATGGCTTGCTTCTGGTTAGTATCAGATGTATGTGTAACCAAAAAATAGCAAAATTGGTCTAAACTTAAAGAGACAGAAACTCACAATAAACTACATGTAACCTGTAGATCGGAGGCTTTTGTCATAATTCAGATTTGGGGAAAAATATGTTGATAAATGCCATTTACACCAAAATGATGAGCACTGAAAATAAAGAAAACAAAGAAAGATGCCGTATTTAATTTTTTATTCAGACCTTGTGGAAAAAAGGGGTGAATGTCCTGCTTTTCACCCTGTGATTGATGCATCTGCACAAACATGAAATAAACTTTATTATGTCATTATTATGTTATGTAATTATTATTATATTTTGGGTCAGTGCTTGTGTCTCAAGTCATATGTTCAGTTCTCTGTGTAACAATTTAAGTAGGAACTGGGTCAGTTTCAACATGTGCTGATGTTTTCTCATGTCAGCAAACTCAGCAAAGTGAAAGATGTGTTTCAGACGTAAACAACCAATGTAAAAAAAAAAAAGAAAGTACAACAGGAAGCTTTTGGATCAGAGGGGAATTCACTAAGAGTAAGGTAAAGATAAGATAAATATAAGCTTAAAGATAAGAACGGAGATGACTGAAACGTGGAACAGAAAGTGGAGGACAGAAACCAGAATAAGCCTAAATCCCACTTCTCTTTTCCCTCCTCAGCCAATCCTCTGGGCATCCTTCTCGCCAACATCATCTCTCCTCTGATGGTTCCAACATCTGCACAAATCCCTGTCCTGGTGAGTTGAACTAAGAACAGGTCTTCATCTTCTTCTTCATTGCCAACCTAAAGATGACACCTGGACCCACCATCCAGCCTTGCAGGATTTGGTTTCTCTGAGTGTTTTACCTGAAATCTGCTGTATTTATATTGGATCGCTCAGAAAACAGTTAAACCTGTTGTTACTAGAGCTCCAGATAGAAGCCTGAACCAGGAGATATAAAACTGCACTGAGATGGTTTTTTCATTCTCAAAACCACAAATAGATTTTCTTATGGATCAAAACTTCAAATAAAACACCGGAGAAATGTAAAAATAAGCTTCTGTTGAGCCATCGACAAACAACATGCGTAAATATCCAAAAATGTACAGTTGCGTGACAAAATGCTGAGCGGTTTATGGCAGTCCAGTGTCCCTGGACTGAATCTGGCCGGGGGCCTTTGTGGCATGCCACCCTCTTCTCGCCCCCTTGTCTAATGTGAACTGTCCTGTAAAGGCAAAAAATGGCTAAAACACAATCTGGAAAAAAAACATCAGTTGGCCTAGAATCGCTGCATTCCCACCGGCCATTGAGGGATTGCAGCTTCTCACACAGGAAAAAAAAAACTGCAGCTGCCCAGCTCTGTGCGCCTGTGTGTCTGAAACCTGGACGCCTCACCTGCTAATGATGATGAATTGTCTTTGATTTAAAGTGCTAACATCCATTTATCATCACATTATGTGTGTGTGTTTTGTTTTTTTTTTTCCCCCTCCTTTAGCTACTTGCCTATGCAATCCCGGCATGTATCATCTGTTTCCTAGCAACAGTGGGGATACGGAGCAGCACCCCACCAACGCCACCGTCAGCTAGCGCCGAGTCCTCGAGCTGTGAGCCGTTCGTACAGGGGATCAAACTGGTGAGGAGCAAGAAAGCAACATGATACAGGTGTAACTCTTTCCCTGTTCTCAGAGAAAAACATCCAGAAACCCACAGCGGACAGACAGAGTGAGAGAGCAGCCGGTGAAGGAAGTTTAAAGAGCCAGATACTGTAGCCAGATGACAACTTACATTAAGTGACAGTGAGAATCACTTCATTAAATGATTAATTGATCTACAGAAAATGAATCTGCAAACATTTTGATAATCGATTAATTGTTTTAAGTAAAGTAGTAGTAAACTTAATATGTTTAGGTTTCAGATGTTGGTTTGACAACATGACACATTTTAAGACTTCACTTTGGACTCTTGAAACGGCTCACAGCAAAAAAACGTTTAGTATTAGCAGTTGTAGGCTTTTTTAGCAAATGAAAAGTAATGGGACACACAGCAGTTCCTCTAGAGACGCGGTGTGACGAAGAGTTTGAGTCATTTAGATTTACACCGTCATAAAGCTGGGGGGCTCACAAGGGACAGAAAAAACAGTGGTCAAAATCAAAGTAGGTTAGATATCCTATGGTTCAGGCACCTAAAACACTAGATCCTACAATTCCCATAATGCAGCTCCTGTTAGACCCCTCTGCTTGGTAAAGATTCAAATCCTCCTCGCTCCACTGCCCCAGTCTGTAACACAAGCTTTCTGTTATGAAGTTGTAGTGATCGAACCCAAGATGAGACGTCGCCATCAAACTCCGTTGATGTGTAAAATCTTTCCCAGTGACAGACAGGTGATGTTTTCCTCACTCGGTTTCTTCTGCAGTTACTGAAGAACAAAGCCTACCTCATCCTGCTGCTCTGCTTCGGCTCGGGCATCGCCGTCTTCACCTGCTTCTCCACGCTGCTGGAGCAGATCCTGTGTGTGCAGGGATACACCAACGTAAGTACGCCACAGTGGTTTCCATGGGGATCGGGGAGATAAAGTAGCATCAAATGAGCAACGCAGGCAGCAGATTTGATAAGAAACAATACACCAATATCTGTTTTGACAGCAAAAATATGATCTGAGGTAGGTGATGGAACAAAGTGAAAGAATAAAAGATGCCGGTCTTTTGCATAATTGATGCTAAATGTTTTAGAAACACTCAGATACAGAATGAAGTTGTAACATCTCACCCCTGCAGGACTTTGCCGGCCTGTGCGGCGCTCTCTTCATCGTGTTCGGCATCGTGGGCGCCGGCGCTCTTGGACTCTATGTCGACAAGACCAAGAAGTTCATCGAAGCCACAAAGATCAACATGAGCTTCTCCGCTCTGGCGTGCATCGCCTTCTCCGTGGTGAGAACGCAAGGCGGGAGTAGTTTAAAGCTCGACAGCAGTTTTACGCATTTTAATCTGTAAATGCATTTAAATGGTAACGTTTGTATTGATTTACAGCTTAAAAACACACCTCTAAACGTCTTACCTTTAATAATTATAAATGTACAGAAATAAACATGTAGAACAGAATCGACCTCTACTTAGGGAAAACACATTAACGCCTCACTTTAAGTCTCCCTGTTTAGCATTTAATAACAGTATATAAACATTAAATAAATGGCTATAAATACACTTAGAGCTGCTTACAACTACATTACTGTGTGTTACAAACCATTTATTAAACGTTTATATGCTAAATAGGGCGATAAACCTCTGAAGTGATGTGATGCGTCTTGGAGTGGTAGATTTCTTTATCCCAGAAAAGGTTTACAGTGGATTCATGTGAGGGTGATACAAGTGCACGTCTGCAGTGTGTGACACAAGCTGACGGGTAAACAAACAAAGGGAATGGGAAGTGTTTGATGTGCAAACACTTTAAAGAGTTGGCTTCTGTTCTGTATTGTTTTGACAGATTTTACTGTAACGCAGCAGTTCACTAAAGTACAGCATGAATAAAAATCACTATGCGAGGTTATGTAGAGGACACCGACAGGATACAGAAAACTTTCTTTGTTTTTTCTTCTCCATTAAGGTTATAATTAAGATGCCCTGGATCTAACCTCACTGCTGAAACACAGAATCGAACTAACCCCTCAGTGACATGTTGATATGTTGATGTTCTCTTGAGCTCAGAGCTTGTGTCCGTCTGCTCACCTTCTCTCAGGTGTCTCTGATGCCGCAGCAGAAAGCCGCCGTGGCAGCCGCCTGCTCCCTCTTCGGCTTATTCGGTTTCTCCATTTACCCGGTGGCCATGGAGCTTTCTGTGGAGTGTTCGTACCCGGTGGGAGAGGCCACGTCAGCCGGGCTCATCTTCGTATCAGGGTATTAATGTCTGAGCAAAACACACACACACACACACACACAGCATGACATGTTCTTATTAAAGGTCCCATATTTTACACATTTCTGGAGTTTCATTTTTTATGTTTTTACTGATGTGGATTTTCTAAAAGGTGCAGACCAGTTTAAATTGATTTCACTCAGATTTCATGACCCCATACATCTAAAAAGGAGGAAAAGAAAACTCTGTTTACAGTAGATGATGTGTTGAAGCAGACAGTGTAGCTGAAAACATGCTTCATATGATGAAAAGTAAATGAAAAGATGATGAAAACATGCAAATGAGCTGTTGATTATGCACCACAGTCACTCAAAGTAAAAAAAAAAAAAAAAGAAAAGCTCTTTGTACAGCAGGTGATATTTTTATATTTATATATTTTACATTTCCATCTGCATTTTATATCTTTTTTTTTTTTTTGGATGGATGTGCTTTATGTGAACTTCATGTCAGTCGTGGCGGCTTTGTCATCCCTCTCCAGGCAGGTTCAGTCTGTTCTCTACATAATCATCCTCCAGGCTTTGACCAAACGTCTCGCCGACGCACCTCTGTCGACCTGCGGGGACGCCATCCTGAGCTGGAGAGGTAGGTCACATGATGTCATGCCGACACGAGCGTCGAACGGAGGCGACGTCAGTGGGAATCAAACCTGACAGTGTCTTGTCTTTTTTTATTTGTTTTGATTTGGAGGAGTTTGTGTGTGTGTGTGTGTGTGTGTGTGTGTGTGTGTGTGTGTGTGTGTGTGTGTGTGTGTGTGTGTGTGTGTGTGTGTGTTTACTGATCTCAGCTCAAAGATTTCAGCTTATTAAAGTACAAAATATTAACAAGTGCACAAGGAAATTTTGTTTAATTTATCTTCAGTTTCCCTTGTTTACATTTACATTTACTTTTGTAATCGTTGTTTCTACTTAAACGTTTTGAGCTGTTTGATTTGGGTGATGTAACTTCTCTTTCATTCTCTGCACTGCTCTTTCTAACTGGGTTTTGAAAGGTTTTCCATTATTAAGTCTATTCAGTTCAAATGTATAAAAAAAAAAAACACGAAAAAGAACAAACACAAGCAGATGTAGTGAATTAGCAACATTTGCAGCCGTTAATGACAACAACATTATAAAATGTGTAAATGTCAAGGTTTATCTGAGGACATGAACCAGGTGCATTTGTTCACATTTTATTATTTCTGCACACGTACAGCACAGTCAGTCACTCAGTCACTTGTTAACAATGTAATATGATCATTGCAGCCATTAAACAATAAGCTGCAAAAAAATAATGATTATTAGTAGGTTTGACATGAACTTCCTCCCCTTTCCAGTGATTTCCTGCTTTATCAACATTCACTTTACCGTCAAACAACTAGTGTTGCCGTGCATGTTTCAGTTCCTGTGAAGTGTGAACCTTTATCTGGTGGTTTTTTTCTCTCGCCCTCAGTGCCGACGCTGGTGATGGCCGGACTGTGCAGCGTCTTCACCTGCTGCTTCATCATCTTCTTCCACACCAGGTACAGACGACTGGAGGCCGAAGAGGAAGCGATGTACGTGACCCCCCAAATCAACGATTCAGCGACCGGCGACGACGCTCCGAGTGTGGACACGTAAACCTGAAGCGATAGAGAAACAGAGGGGATTATGGGTGTTATCACAACTACAGTTTGTTTTCTTTGGGATGAAACAGAGTAGAAAAGTTTATTTTGGTAACCTCAGCTTAATGAGTGATTTTTTTTTTTTTTTTTTTGAATCACGATGATTCTTTTGATATTGGGGCCAAACCTTTTTGTACGTTGAGTTACAATAACAGATTCAACTTTAATATGATTGTTACTAACAAATAATCCTCAAGATATCAGAAGACGATATATCAGCTATTGATCTGATGAAATAAGCTCAGCAGATTGTTCTCGTCATTCCATTACTAAATGGAAAATGTATTTCCTAACACTGATTGATTGTGCGTTTTTACAGATGAAAAAAAACTGTGTAACTGTAAATTTGTGTAAATATGTTTTGTTCTGTTTTTTACTGTGGCAGGTCTGTTTGAGGAATCCCTGTCAGCTGGAAAATAATTCTCTGAGTGGAAGCAAAAACTTAACATTCCTGTTCAGATCAGATGATTTAAATGATTATTGACTTCAAGGTTATTTTTTTAACACAACTTACCTTTGATTTAGGTAATAAGAGAGAAAATGAAGACAGACACACCTGCTGCAGGGAAACATCACATCCTGTAGCTGCTCACTCCCATTATTCACCCACATATAATTCTGGGGGAGAGGTTTAGACACGAGACCAAACTGCTGCTCTCACAAATAAAAAGTTTCTTTGAAAGCAACCACTCCGTGTACGGGAAGCTAAACTCCTCACCTTGACTTACAGGAAGAAAACACAGGTAGTATGGGACACCAGTGTGGAGTCTCATTACACAACCTGCTCTGGAAAAATGCACATTTTCCATTTTCCATCAAATTTAACAGGTACATCCTCAAACTGACTGTGTGTGTGTGTGTGTCTGTGTGGCTGTGTGTGTCATCATTGTGATGGTTCAGCACATGGCAGAGTTTGTGTATCTGCATTCCCTCAATGCACCAACAAATGCATGAACTGTTGTACGACTCAAAGCACAGCGGGGCTTTAAGCTGCGTTGCATTGTGGTCTATGTCTTACCGCTGTGTAAGAACTGCGGGTTCTCTTTGATTCTCAGGGTCTGACAACGAAACACCTGAAGCTTTACTGCTGATGTTTTCTCCTCTGGAGCTGCTAGAAATAACTGGATGTGCTGTCACATCATCGCAGGCTCGTCTGTATCTTATCCTTTGGTACTAAATCCACTGTTAAACGTTTACTAACATATTCTGATTGAAATGCATTACCTTCACGTTAATCAGGCTTTCTGCAGGTTTCTCAAAACCAAATGTTTTACTGTTTGTTAAAATCCAAATGTGTCAATGTGCAGACGAAACCAAACAGTGTAATTCTACTATTGTGCCACTAATTATCCTGTTCTGTCATTTAAAGTGCGTCTGTCATTGTGTTGTGGTCATAGACCCATAACAGCATATAACTGCTTGTTAAAGCCTTAATTTTGTAAATGGACAGTTGTGGGTTTTGTGCAATAAAAAAAAGAAACTGATTGTGTTCACTGTGGGAACTGTTGGGTTTGTCTCTATATTTACTCTGTGAAGTGTATAGAGTTCCTTTGTGTTATGATTTGGCGCTATATGAATTAAATTAATTTGAAATCGACAAAATAGGCAAATGAAGGTTCTGTTTATGGTAAATGACACATTTGTATTTTAACTGTGCATTGAATGTTTTATGTTACTGTTAAGACTAATAATGTTGTTTTATATCTTTCAAAGGAGGTATTTTGTTGAACTTGAATGATGTGTAGTGAAGATGGACGTCTGACTTCACCTGCTCCACCTTTTTCCTTAAGAGTTGATCATGCGTAAGGCACATACATCTGTAAATACAAGCACTTCTTCAAATTTCTAAATTAGAAAATAAAACAAGACTTGGTCAAAACCTTGTACATGGCTGGACTGTGTATTGTCAGTGAGTGTGTTTACACCAGTATCCTGGTTATGATCAGGTTGATGGAGTATCCTGGTTGTGTTTTGTGCGTGTGAACAGTTTATCCTGTTTTCAGAAACCTGGATATATATATCTATATCTATATAGATATATATATGTACCTGGAGTACTCCGATAGAAACCTGCATATTTGTTGTAACATTGTCATTTTTTCCTGCTTTAAATAATGAACACACTGAAAATCTCGAGTGAGTTAATATTATTCCATCGTAGGAGAACTGCAAGGCTGCGGCCAAGAATGAATTTCATTAATAACACAGCTGACGTTTACTTTCTTTAATAATCCCATGATAGGAAAATAGTAAAAAAAATCCCGTCCTTACTCCCTGAAATTGCTTTTTTCGTCTGACCAACAGTTGAAAACCCCAAATTTTTAAGGCTACTGTCACAAACATTAAAACCAGCAAATATTCACATTTGAGAAGCTGGTACCAGAGAATTTGGGGCATTTTTTTCCTTAAAAAAAAAAAGACTTATTTTTCTGTCAATCAACTAATTGATTGATCAAGTAATTATTCAATCTGCAAAGTACTAGTTGAATTCTGGGTGCTGAGGAAATAAAGGAAGTGCCATTTATAGTGCAGGTCAGTCGGGGCCCAACAGCTTCCTCCGCTGCCCTCTAGCAGGTTAATCTGAGAGTGGGAACATCAGATTGCTGTTGGCCTGTTACAGACTAAATCAATTAAAATGGTGATAAATTCATTTGTAGTTGAAACTTAATTTGACTTCCTCTGGCTTTGTTCATTTATTATTAAGGAATAAAATTGGATTCAGTTCATGAGTAATGTTTCCTACTGTGATTCATCCATGAACCAGTGACACCAGAACAAATTCCTGCACACCTATTCCCCATGAGGCCTCAAGAGATTTTAGGAATGATCACACTAAGTATAAGATAACATAAACCAGACAGGAAGATGTTTGAGTGGCAGTTTGTGGCTGAGGTCCAGAAAATGACAGAAACAAGCAGATGGCTAAAGACTCTGGAGAGTTTAATTATTTCCGAATTGCACAAAAAAAACAAATATAAAAAAGTAGAGCGCTCTCTAGATTCAGAATCACTCAGAGCCGACATGAAGTCTCCTCTCCTATGATCGTTTCTCCAGCTCCGTCTGGACTCAGACAGTTCCTACAGTTTTAAAAAGACCCATTCATAAGAATACGAGCAGGATGTAAAAATGAACACAACGGGAAACCAAATTAAAAGAAGAAAAAAAAAAAGAAAAGGTAAACACAATTCTAAAAAAGAGATTACTACAGCAAATTAATGACAGGATTTGTCAAACAGACTCTTGCACATAACTGACACATTGAATGGCACCAAACACAAAACAAGTCAATTAAAAAAAAAAAAAAAAACTGTAATGAGGAGATTCTTGATGCAAGAGCTGGTAGTTTCTAATGTGTAAGTTTAGCACAGGTACACATTTCATGTACTCATGTATCTCACGTTCACATTTGTGCGTCTCAGAGCTGCAGAGCACAGAACTGCTGGTAGACGGCCAGGATGTGGTGGTCGAGCTCGGCGGTGAACAGCAGGTTCTCCAGGGTTCCCATGTACTGCTGGATGGTCACATGGTGCTGCACGACGAGGAGAGAGACACCATGCGTGAGCAGTGCAGGCGGATTTGACTCACAAAAAAGTAGCCGTAAATTGTACCCGATCTGCGTGTGTGTGAATGTTTTACCATGAGGAAGATCTGCTGCAGTCGCTCGATACAGTTTTTGTACCAGGGCGTGCTGATGTCGACGCTGCCGGTCTCACAGCGAACCAGATGCTCCGTCAACAACATGATGAAACGCTGAGAGAGGGAAATTAAAAAAAAAAAATCAACATTTAATAAAGTGAAGTCCCTTCTCCCATCCTGCACCGTCAGGAAATGTCCCGAGTCAGACTAAAATGCCTAATACACACTTTAGCTAATGACGCTCCACAATAAGGCTTTGCGCTGCTCTTGTCTCAGGTTTAGAAGTCGCTCGCCTGAAGAAGAAAAAACCGGAGCCTTCAGTACCTGGAAGATGACGAGGAAGAGGTTCTTCTGTTCGCTCTGAGCCGACTCCACCTTCTCCTGTAGCCTCTCGATCTGCTCCTCCAGCTGACCCTCCTCATCCTCGCTGTTCTTGTCCATGTCCTCGTCATCACCGCTGTCCCTCTGTTGACGAACAAGCACAAACAATAAAATCCTTTAATCAACTGATCATTTACTTTTTTTTCTCAAATGAAGGACTTTAAATAAATAGTTATTTTATAACCTGACATAATAGATGTGATGGATAAACATACCCTCTTATGCTGCTGTTTCTCCAGCTTGTCCTTGGCCTCCTCCAGCTCCTTCTGGATCTTCTGGACGTGTTTGTTCATCTTTCGAATGGTCGAGTGCAAAATCTCCCAGATGAAAAGTCTAGATGAGGTTAAGAGTTTGTTTTTTTTTAGTTTACTGGCCCAAGACACAGAAAACATTTTATTCAAGACACTTAACGTGAAAAGTAAAGCAGGACAGTAGAAAACAGAGCATTAGTTTATTATGTCCCAGCAGTTCAGTATATTGAAATGGAAAAAAATGTAAGATATAACCTGATAAAACCAGAGAAAGCTGATTTTCCTCAAACTTTAACCTTTAAAAGGTTAAAAATTCTCTCTTTCTTGATGCCCCACCTGGTAAACTCGTGAGCCATGTCCTGAGAGAAGAGCCAGTTGGCCACAGCAGCACAGTCAACAATCTGTGTCCGAATCAATTTGTCCACCAACACTGCGATTATCTACAACAGCCAGGACACAGTTGATGATGAACCAACTCTTCACTAAAACTCAGATTATTCACGTGTAGATCATTTAACATTCATATTTTTGTACAGAGATCAACTTCTCTATAACTGACAGAGTCGAAGTTTCAATCAAGATCTAGAAGACATGAGAAACACAGTTCTTACTTGTGGGTGGTTCCTCCACACTTCATAAACCACTTTGAGGATGTGCAGCTTCCCCTCGTCGCTCTCCGTCAGGGTCTTCAAGATTTCATGAAACCTGGAGGAATCAGAGGGTGAGACCAGCAGCTCTGGATTCATTCATTCATTCAATACAAAATGTGTTCAGCCATTACAAAAAATATGACAATTAAAAG